TCTTCGGGAGATGGTTAACGCGATATACACAATGAGTGACCGGTCTCACGAAATGTTAACCGAAATTCTGAAATGCGTTTTCGATCAGGAAGGACTACTTAGTTGCGGTTCTATATGATTATCTTGCGGCATAATCCTACAATATTTCGGACTTGGCAGGATGTCAGCTTTTGAATGCACTGCTTTTTAATCTACTACAGAAATGCAACTCGGTAAAAAATGACTATTAAGTATCATGAATGACTTACATTGATTTTCGGTGGTACTGCAAATTCAAATATATTTTATAAAAACCACGAACAAAAATATGCTTTCTCCCAGACGTTTGATAGTGCATCATGCTATCCTTATAATTTATGCTTAAATAAGGTATATAATTAAGTTTTAAAAAGTGTTTTATTATGAGAGACAGTATCGCACCCGTCCGTTTACCACTGCTTCTCATGAAATGTACACCATGATCCGCATCCATTGTAAAATTATGTGGAATCTATATGATATCTTCCTAAAGGCATGGAGGAATACGTGAGTTTCTTTACGCGGACCGCATGCACTTTGTAGACTGTGATCACTAAGCGCTAATGCAACGACTGAATGGGCTCCAAATTATTCGGGAATTAGAAAACTTGTTTAAAACCAAAGTATACTTCTTCGAGCACAAAATGCAAAGATGACGTGACTCTCTATCAAACGACTGAAGGAAAGCTTATGTTTCTTCGTGGTTGCTATGAAATATACTTGAATTTACTAGACCAGCGAAAATCAGTGTGAAAATGCAGGCTACCTAAGTAGTCATTTTTACCGGATTCGGTTTCCATAGGAGATTGAAAAGAAGTGCATTCGAAAGCTGGCATTCTGCCAAGTCCGAAATATTATAGCATCATGTCACAAGGTAATCAATATTACACTCGCGCCTAAGTAATCCTTCCTAATCGAAAATGCGTTTCAGAATTTCCGCCAACGTTTCGTGAGATCGGTCACTCACTGTATACTCCTATAGTAATACTGGTCTACGGACGTAGGAGAACCTTTCGTTTAACGTGTCCCTTACAAAGAGCAATTGAATGCGTCACAACACTTACTTGTATTCATTCAGGCTTCTTAGAAAAATATGGCGAAAATCACATTGCATAGCTACTTTATACTATCTGAACCCTTCTAAATCTAAAGTTTACAGTCAACATCGAAACACATATTTCTTGTTATTTAAGTTTTTATGGTTTAACATATACAGCAGCCTGCCCACTTTGTAAGATTTGAATCATAATTTTGAAGTATGCTTTCTATAAGAGAAGAAGAAGATTTGAGCACCGGAACACTTTGTTTATTGTCCTGAGCTTTCAGACTCGTACAGGAGTCCATCGTCAGAGGTAGTGGCAGAAAGAGAACAAGCGGCAGTTATAAGGCATGTAGGCCCAATCATCGACCAACGGCGCAATACTGGAGGTGACTACGCAGGGCTCTGTACGCCGGCGCCAAATCGATAAATCGATTCACCGAGTTCTCACCCGAGGCCCAGGCTTCAATCAATTCTCGGCCTGATTTGTTTCCCGCGTGGGCGACTATTTCGCTGGTTGCGAAGTTAAACTCGTGACCCATTTCGTAGGTGTGGGCGACCACTTGTGATAATGCGTCGCCTCGTCGCACAACCAGCTTAAGTTCGTGTATGCGCGATCCGCGCATGCGTCCAGTCTGTCCTGTGTAGTTACAAGGACACTTTTGACACGGGATGCGGTACACTTCTCCTGATTGTTCTTCAGGCTTTAGCCGGTCGTTGATTTTCATGACCCTATTGCGCATGGTAGCTTTGGGACGGTATGCAATCCCAACATCTAGCTCCGCAGCAATGCGCTCGGTCGCTTCTGAAACACCCCTAATGCATGACAGAGAATGCCATTTCGTCTGTGGCGTTGATGTTTTAGTTCTCTGGTGGCGACCGCGTAGTCAGCGACTTATGGATGCACTCGGATAGCCATTTTTCACAAACAAAATGATAAACAAACAAATAACAATCAAATAATAAGCAAAGAGTTCCGGTGCTCGAATCTCCTTCTTCACTTATGCACACACCTGGAACTCGAAATTTCGCCTTTGTATGCTTTCTATTGTGAAGGACTTTTTTGTCCTCTAACCTCAATACGGCGGTCCGCAAAGACAACAGCCGCTAAAGGCGGCTGCTTAAACAATCTACCATTTTCTATATATCTTAAATGTCTTCATAAATTAAAATCTTTTCTTCAACACCCATGTCCATAATGTACGTTTGCATTCACTCAGCATCACGTTACGTTTTTTTAAATATTTTAACCAAGGAAACGTTAGTTTGCGGTCCTGAAAAAGCATATGATAACTTAATTTTTATGACCGAAAAATATTCCTTTTTAAAACATTGTAACTGTCCGTTTATAAATTTTGCTTATGAAGTATAAAACACGGACCGCATTCACCGAACATTTTCATGAAGTCCACTGAATAAAATAAAGAAATCTATGATTTTCCTCGTCCGGAAAGTATACAGCGCGCGGTTTTGAGATCGCAAACGCAAGTGCGACTGCATGTTAGGTCACGCATATTTCGAGAATCGAAAAAGGCGTTTAGAACCAGAAATACTACTTAATCATGTCTAAAATACAAAGAATATTTGATTTTTTGACAAATACGAGCAAAAGTGCTTTTATTCATGCTTTCCATAAGGTGTGCTTGAGTCGACAAGAACATCGAAAGTCAACTGGATCATTTCGGGTTATTAAATAATAACTTATTTTGGAGTGTGCTTTCTGCAGACGGTCAGAAAGGAGCTCACTTAAAAGCCGTTATCCTTTGGTGATTAAAATATCTTGGCATTATTCCGTGCAATAATAATAATAATAATTGCGACAAATCGGAGTCATATTCCTGAACTATGATTAGCTTGTCGTTATACATACATATATATGACGTTCGGAAGAGATGCAATAATCTGCAGAACTTGAGCATACTTACTGCGATCGGACAGACAAGCACTGCACCCCGTGGTGCAAATCAATAAGAGAGAAGCATAACCGACGATCATTTTCAGGGAAATGAAAATATGCTTTGCCTGTCTAGACTATCTGACATTCCAAACGAACTGTTTTTTTTTCCAATCAGACACAGGCGCCGTATACAGTCCTTGCCTGTTTGTCAGCAAGGTCACTCTTTGTAGGCGGATCAACAAACTATTTTGTTGCGGCTGCTGTAGAGAGCAGTCGTAGAAAGTCTTAAATTAATGACAGAGCGCATTTTTTCACACAGACATATGCACACATGTGTACGATGCCGCTTTAGTCATAAAACGTAATACCGCAAATTTGAAAACATCATCTATGGAAAAAAATTACACTGCACATATTTTTACCCGTTTAGCTCGTTTCGGCGTAACTTGCTCTCTCTTAGGGTTGTTTATCCTAAATGAAATATATCAAACATACTTCGGAAAATGATAACGCACAGGAACATTAATTTATTAAAAATTTTTTTAGGGGGAAACATTTCAGGGCAGACTTGTTTATTAAGCAAGAGAACAGTTATATGAAATCTTCGTTAAGGCTGTTCGTTTTATGTAGGCGATGAGGTTTTATGCTTTAGGAGTTCGTGTGTATTGCGCACACGGCTCTCTAAATGCATCATAACGACCCAGAACTCAACATTTCGATATATACATTTGAAACATGCGATTTTGATAGTGGAAATAGACGCCAATTATTGCCAATAGCAGCGAAGAGACGAGTCCCAGGAAGTAGTCTTGAAGAAGGCGACACGATCATTGGGACAAGAGCTTTATTGGCCTGACGTTTTGGGTTCCTGCTCGAGCCCATCATCAGAGACAAAAGCAGATACGGGTGGTGCATGCACAAGGGGGTGCAGTATTTGTAGGATGCAGTCACCATGCTACCGCATCCCAATGAACATTCACGGCTCCCCCCTTCATCCAGGATCGTTGCACTTGTTGTACTAATTGTTTGATAGCCATCCTATAAATACTGCTGACCTTTGTAAATGAACCACCCGCATCTGCTGTTGTCTCTGATGATGGGTTCGAGAAGGAATCCGAAACGTGTCTCTTTCTTCAAGTCTACTTACTTGGACTCGTCTCTTTGCTTCTATTGGCAGTACATTTCGACGCGATGCTCTGCGATCGGCCCGGCGATGGGAAACCTTTGCCCTTCGGGAGGCCTCCACGTATTCGCAGATCCGGTTTCTGCACAAGTGTCGCGACAATAATGTATTACCGAAATGTGTTTCATACAGGCTCCCGATTAACGGGCAGTATTTCAACACGGCAGAAGGATGATCCGTGTGCTCCTCCAAGATTTTCACGCGAGACTTCGCAAGTAGCGTCAAAGATTGACCGAGAAAAGACCAGATGCTGTGATTTGATGGGCAAAATCGGTACAAATATGGTCCTACAGAAGGTGACTGAACAAACCCGCGAACGGGGAATGATACGCGATGCAGCACTGGAGAACAAATTCCGAAAGCTGCCCAATCCAACATCGCCCAGAAACGACAAACTGGTGCACAACCTGTCATCAAAGGAGCTGACGAAGGATCAGATGCAGGTTTAACGGTATGAAGTTTCATTTAACACGGTTGACGCCAAACCTGTTAACATGATTGCAGCAGTAGAATCAACCCTTAGTCAGACGAAGACAACAGAGGAGACCAAGAGCCTCATCCGACACCAAGTGTCGTCTCTCCTAATGGCTCACAGGCCTCGGGAAGTGCTTTCCAAGGTCGAACGTGATGCGCTTAGAAAATTCAAGATCGAAAAAGACCTGGTCATCGTGCCAGCGGACAAAGGGCGCGCCACGGTTGTAATGGATAGGACAGACTACCTTCAAGAAGCCAAGGGTTTACTGGAGGGCTGACAGTTCTATGTCCCATGTTGAACGAACCCTTTAAAGGCGCTGACACGCGAAATTAATGCTACGTTGTTGGCCTTGGAGAACTCAGGTGCAATAACACCGACCGACAGACGCATGACGAGACCCCAAGATACGGCATTGGCCCGATTCTATGGTCTCCCTAAGTTGCTCAAAGACGGCGCTCCTCTCCGACCCATCGTGTCACTCAAAGGGACTCCACCGTACGGACTGGCTAAGTGGCTGTTCCGGCGTCTCAAGTTCCTGACCGCTGAGTCAGACACCGCGGTCTCTTCGTCAGCGCAATTCCTGGAGAAACTCAAAGGGGTAAGCCTCCATCCAAATGAGGTCGTGGTATCTTTTGATGTTACATCCCTTTTTACTTCTATTCTCCAGGACCTGGCGATCGAGACAATCAAACTGCTTCTACAAAGCAAATACGATAAAAACGGAGAACCGTCTTGGACGCGCCCAAGTCCTTCAGCTCCTGAAGTTCTGTCTCCGGACGTACTTCACGTTCGACGAGACAATCTACGAAAAGGTGAAGAGTACACCAATGGCATCGCCGATTACGGGATTCATCGCCGAGGCGGTCCTACAACGGTTAGAGTTACAGATTTTTCAACACCACAGACCGAAGTTCTGGGACCGGTATGTGGATGATACCTTCGTCCTTATCGATCGGGATTAGGTGCTGACATTCAAAGAACACCTCAACGTCGTCTTCCTGGACACAAAATTTACGATGGAGGAGGAAGAGAACAAGCAGCTGGCCTTCCTGGATGTCCTGGAATGCCGCAAAGATTGTGGTGGACTAAAGATCAAAGTGTTCAGGAAAGCGACAAATACGATGCAAATACTGAACTTCAACAGCAACCACCCAATCAGTCACAAACGCAGTTGTGTAAGGACGCTCTATTGGCCTGTCTAAACGCATTGCAGTGAGCCGCAAGACAAGATTGCCGAACTACAATACCTCCGACGGGTGTTCAATGCCAATGGATACTCGCGCATTTTCGTCAACCGGTGTATACGCAAAATTGACGAAAGGACTAACCGCATGGACACGAAATGTTGGCGATCGCTTCCGTATGTCAAGAACGTTTCGGAAGCTGTCGGTCGCCTTCTCGCACCACTTGGGGCTGGAGTTGCACACAGACCGGAGGCAACCATCAGGCGTCTGGCCATGAAACCGAAAGACTCACTGCCACGGCTAGAAACGTCTGGAGTCCTTTATCGGATCCGGTGCAGTTGCGGACAAAGCAACTACGTCAAAGAAACTGGAAGACAGCTCCGAACGAGAATGACCGAACGCGCTGCAGCGGTGCGGAGAAATGAAGCCAGCTCTCAAGTTGCGGCTCATTCGACGAGATCCGGCCACACATTGCAATTCGATGTAGCCAAAATACTCGCATGAGATGACAACCGCCTGAGCCGGGAGCTACTGGAATCATGGTTTACTGCCCCAGTCCATTAACAATTGCAATTAACTTCCCCTTCCATACTCGGTGCTGAGACTTCGACTAGGCGGAGTAATTAGCCACGCGGGGAGCGCACAAGTGAACAAATCAGATGGTCGAGCAATCGTCACACCAACATCCAACGCACGTGATGAAATTGCAGCAATTAACGACTCAAATGTCGGCCATCAAGCAATTAGCACACCAAGTGCGACGATCCCGGATGAAGGGCGAGCCGTGAATGTTCTCAGGTATGCGGTAGCATGGTAACTGCATCCTATAAATACTGCAGCCCCTTGTGCATGAACCACCCCTATTTGCTTTTGTCTCTGATGATGGGTTCGAGCAGGAATCCGACACGTCAGGCTAATAGAGCTCTTGTCCCAACAATCGTGTCTCCTTCTTCATGACGCTAATTATATTAACTATCATTTCGGCCGGTCAACTAAAAACACGGAATAATGTGAGACGTTCGGTGATATTTCTAGTACATCCTCGACCTCAGCGGATCCCACCGTCGCTAAATGCCCCGGAGGAATGTTGTTGAAACAAAGTTCTTCATAAACGCAGAAAATGATTTCTTTGTGAATGCATCTGCTCAGAGGGTTAAAATTAATGCGTACCGAGCATGGGACTTTATGGAGGCCATCATTACTACGTCTTATGTGTCAAAAAAATAAAATGAAATATTGTTTGATTTGAACAATCTGATCTTGAAAAAAATTGCGTCGAATGCCTGCAAATAGATTTCCAAGCAAATAATCAAACATTGCGCACTTCATTTTATGCAGAAGGTAAGATAACACCAATTTTGTGGAGGATATTTGCGACAAACATATGCAAAACTGTTCTTTTGAACAATTACTATATGTGGGCTGGTTCATTTACCCGGCCAACAGCATATAGATAGTCATTACGGAATGCCAAAATCCGAGTCTATTCAGTGGACATACATTTTTGGGTTTGCGATATTTCCGCTTCAGTAGGTTAGTATTTCAAACCGGCCAAACAGAATGTTAGTATTTATTTTGGGTTTTTGTTTAATTTGAGTTGGTTCACTATTAATTGAACTAGTTTGACAACATCGACACATTTTAGTCAAGTTTAAGCTGAAAAGCAAAGGCAACTCAAGGCCTGCGTGAACTATCGAATCGTCTCCAATAAAGCGGTTTTTTCCGCTATCGCAGTTTTGTGCAGCAGCAACTAAGAAAGAGACAGCACAAATAAACAACTGTGCACGCAAAGGAAATTCAGGGATGTACCGACTGAACTGCAATCAAGAACTTCTTCAAATCACCCAGGCAGCCTACGAGCACCTAACTAAAGGAACCGTGCCGCTTCTCAGCACTAATGGACAGACTCTCCTAGTTAAAATCATTGCACATTGTGGAGTGTCTTCGTAAGTGGCCTCAACGGAAGTGTCCTGCGATGCCGCCATCGACCACTTCCCTCAAGCAAGAACCAGAAACAATCTCGATCTTCTGCCTTCTCTTCCAGAAGCAACCCGGGCCGTACATCAACTCTCCAGCAGCAAGGCACCGGGCTCCGACACGTTCCCAACAGACGGCCCCGGCTGATGAATCAACTCACAACGCTATTCCAAGAGATGTAAATCGGAGGACAGGTTCCTCGGGACGTCAAGGATGCGACAGTCGTTTTTCCTAATGAGCGCAAAGAGAACCAGTAAGTCTGTGATAACTTCCAAGGACTCGTTCTGCTCGAAATTCCCGGAAAGTCCTTCACTCGCATCCTCCTCAAATTGGGGACTTCTGCTGGAAAGTCTGGATTCTGACGCCACTGCGGAAACACCGACATGCTCTTCGCCGTCCACCAGCTGAAAACGAAGCGATACAGAATGCGGACCCACCTCTACAATTCCTACGTGGACTTGAAGAAAGCCTTCGAGGGGGTGGACCGCAGTGCATTGGGGAAAATCGTGCAGGAATTCGACTATCCTTTGCATTTCACGTACACGGTGTGTCGGCTGACGACGGGAAAATGGGGTGCTTAATGACCGAACGGACTGCCCCCGAGGTATTCGCAGTGACTAATGGGATGATGAAGAACTACGTAATTGGCCCAAACTCCTTCGGCTTCAGATGTTTCTTCATGCTGATGGACGTTTAACTTGATGCGTGCTCCAAGTTTTGCATCGCCTACGGGTGTGACGAGCATCATCTTAACATTCGGTGCGTGTAGATCTCACCACGTCATTCTACGACTAAAATGGATGACCCGCTCTGCGCTGATGACTGCGCAGTCAACTCCGTGTCAGAAGTTGACATGCAACGGAGCATGGACCTCTTTGCCGCGGTTGTGTCAGCTTCGGGCTGACTATAAACGCGGACAAAACGGAAGCCATGCATCAGTCCCCGCCCAAGTGCGCATACTGTGCTCCTCTCGTGCACTTCAACGACACCCAACTGAAGACCGCGGATAACTTCGTCTAATTAGGCAGTACATTCTCATGCTGCATCAAAATGGAAGACGAAATGTCTTTCCTGACCTCGAAAGCCAGCCAAGCCTTTGGCCTGCTGCAGAACTCCGTATGAAATCGTCAAGGTTTCCATCCCAAAACTAAACTGAAGGCGTACAAAAGTGTAACCATGTCGACGCTGTTGTATGGTGGGGTGATCTGCAGATTTTGCAAAAAACAAGCGCGGAAAATCAGTTTTTTCCCCTGGATACTAAGGCTGTGACAGAACAGGATCCTGGACACTGCAGTTTTGGAGCGACTGAAATCCTCAGAACCCATGCCATTCTGCAGCAACTGCAATTATTTTGGAGCGGCAAACTCATGAGAATGGACAACGGGCGCCTAACAACACAGATATGTCTCCACGATTTATCGCCCATAAGGAGGTCAAACCCGTTGCTACAAGACACCGTGCAGGATTCTCTGAAGCGGATACAGACCAACCCGGTTTCATACAGAACCGAGCTGCCTGAGGAAGAACAGCGGAAACAGGATCAGCTACCTATAAAGCCGGCCGTACAGGTCTCATCACGTCTCTCTAACATGCATAGCCTGCTCTTAGCTGATGACTGCTCAGTCAACACCGTGTCAGAAGCTGACATACAACGGACCATTGCCGGGGGTTTGCAACCTTGGACAGTTACAAGAATAAGGTGACCCACGACGCCAACTCTCAACCTATCTCGGCATGCTTACGTCGTGAAAAAATGCCCGGTGCGCCGGTCGACCTCGTTAGACATCTCTGGACTCAAAGCATCAACCCGATTGACCCAACCGATGTCGCTCTGAGCCCCCTCTGTTCCAACACTCACGACGTCCACTACAACGACCCCCTCACTGCGCATGGCCAACATCCCCGTGCGGCACCTCCGTCGGTCGCTGCTCTCTCCATCATTCCTGCCACAACTCCCGCGGCGAAGACCACCGCCAGAGCTTCCCCCCTTCACAATCGGAAGTAATTCTCGCAAAGAAGCACCCTCACTAAAGCCACCTCATTTTTCAATAATGTGGACTTGATGCTAGCCTGTCCTCATTGCGACCGCACATTTGTCTCACGCATCGGCCTGCCCAGTCACTTGCTAATCCACCCCACTGCGACCGGTGCGCAGTGTCTGGAGTCCCCACACACGCGTCACAGTTCACACCGACCACGCACATCCATACCCTGCGTGAACCTATTCTGTCACATGCGTATGGGCAGCAGTGGAAGCCACCGCAGTATCTGCAGATATAACAAACCTTGCAGGCCAATCAGTCCTCTCATGCCTTCGCATCGACTTGTGCGCCCAGTAGCATCGCGACAACAGCCGACTCGTTATCCTCCAACCCATCCTGTCCACACCGTCACCGTACGTTCACCTTACGCATCGACTTGGTTGGCCATTTGTCAGTCTGTGGCACAAAGACTGGCCTGGATCATCGACATACACTGGACGCCATCGCCTCAGTTGTCCGCACTGCCCTCGCACATTCAGCCGTCGGATGTACCCATTAGGCCACATATAAGTTCATGAATTCAAGGAAAACAATTTGGCGGGCATACGTAAGCTTTCGATAAATTCTCATCAAGCCTATACAGTGCGTGACCTATCTCATGAAATGTTGGCTGAAAATCTGAAATGAGTTTTCCATTAGGAAGAATTACTTGGTCGCGGTTGTGAGACTGATTATCTCAAGGCATACTCTTATAACATTTTAGACTTGGCAGAATATCGGCTTTAAAATGCAGTTCTTTTCAATCTCCTTTAGAAAGCGTGCTTGGTAAAAAATGACTACTTAAGTAGCATGCATTTTTCCCATTGATTTTCGATGGTCTTGGAAATTCAAATAAATTTTATAGAAACCACAAACAAAAATATGCTTTCTTTTAGTCAATCAATAGAGAATCACGTCTCCTTTATATTTTATACTTAATGAAGCATTATAATTAGGTTTTAAAAAAGTTTCTAATTATAAGACTTTTTAAGATCGCGAAATGTCCATTCACATAGCATC